AAGAGAAGAGAAGAGAAGAGAAGAGAAGAGAAGAGAAGAGAAGAGAAGAGAAGAGAAGAGAAGACTAAAAATGGAATGGAATGGAATGGCATGGAATGGAATGGAATGGAATAGAATAGAATAGAATAGAATAGAATAGAATAGAATAGAATAGAATAGAATAGAATAGAATAGAATAGAATAGAATAGAATAGAATTCCAGGGGGAAGAAACAGTTTAAGAAGACTGTAATTATCCTTCAAAGTATTTTTTTTCCTTTTGATAGGTAAATTAAGAGCTGTTTCTGTTCTGGTCAGGATCAGCAGCATCATGCCCTCTCCCTTTGGCCCAGGGCAGGGAAAGTGGGTGCTGCTGTGGGTGAGGGTGCTCTGTGTTATTGCTTGAGGCATCTACAGAAAGTGAAAGAGCTGATGGATAAAGAAAACCCAATAAATCCCCTATTTTCATGAAAACCATAAGGTTGAGGATCCTTTAGGTCACATCAGTAGGGATGAGGAATTCTGATGGAGCTGGATATTTATTTGGTACGATCCTTTTGGTTTCTGGAGCCTGGACATAAGAGGCTGGTCCTTTCAGAAGTGCTTTGCTGCCTTGGCTTCCCATCCCGTGCTCCTGCAATGCCCACAGGGTGAGAGGAGAGCTTGGAACCCCTCAGCAGATCCCACCTCCAAGGACACTTGGCACTTGCTCCTTCCTTACTACAGCAGTTCCTGAAAAATGGTCCTTTTTTCTTTTTAATCTAGGTTAGAGGAAATGTAGAAAATATGATCTCTGAGGGAGGAGTGACAGAATTGTTTGGTCCAGAGGAGCCAAGCCTGGGACAGCTGGGGATGAACTGACCTCCAGCCCCCCCTTCACAGCTGCACTTCCTGCCCTGCTGGGATAACCCTCCTCAACAAATAAAAGGGAATAAACTGCTCAGGGCCTGCCTGGAGAGGATGAGGAACCACGGGGTGAGCTGTGGTAAGAGCTTTAACCAGACACTGGGGCCTGGCTGGGTGCAAACCCAGCCCAGGACAGGTTCTCTGGTCCTGAGGCTCCCCTGGGGGAAGTTTCAAGGGGAAAAAGCACAGATCAAACAAACATCCCACGGGAGGGGTTTGGGCTGCATGGGATGACACCACAGAGCTGAGCTCACGGTGCCAACCTGTGTGAGATCCAGGGATTTCAGAGATTTTCAGAGACAGGAAATACCTGGGACATTCTTTTGGCATTGGGAGCCTGGGTGTCTGTGAGATCTTGCCAGGAATTTGGAACAAACACCCATGGTGAGGGGTTTGAGCTGTGTGGGGTGTGTTGGAATCACCCCTCCAGCTCTGCTCCTCCACTGCTGTTTCCAGCAGCCCCTCACTGCCTCCAGGCCTGACCCCAACCCTCCCAGAGGGGATTTTTGGATGGTTTCACTCCCCTCACTGACTCTCCAGCTGCCTCAGGCCATGGCATGTAGGGGAAGGATGGAGAACCACCATGGGGACATCATGGAGTGACCCTGGAGCTGGGTGAGTGTTGTCAAAGGCCTTGAGACCATAACAACTTCCTTTTTGTGTTTTTAAGAGTTTTAATGAGAACCATTTGGATGTCACTGTGGGGTAACAGGGTAACAACCCCCCCACTGCTGTGCACTCAGAGTGCAGGAGCCTGGGATTACATGGTCATCCTGGTTATAAAATCCCAGAATGGCTTGGGTTGGAAGGGACATTAAAGCCCACCCAGTGCCACCCCCTGCCATGGGCAGGGACACCTTCCACCAGCCCAGGTTGCTCCAAGCTCCATCCAACCTGGCCTTGGACACTTCCAGGGATCCAGGGGCAGCCACAGCTTCTCTGGGCAACCTGTGCCAGGGCCTCCCCACCCTCCCAGTGAAGGAATTCCTCCCCAGTATCCCATCTATCCCTGCCCTCTGGCAGTGGGAAGCCATTCCCTGTGTCCTCTCCCTCCATCCCTTGTCCCCAGTCCCTCTCCAGCTCTCCTGGAGCCCCTTTAGGCCCTGCAAGGGGCTCTCAGGTCTCCCTGGAGCTTTCTCTTCTCCAGAAGAGCCCTCTCTGTGCTGCCAGGGCTGGCTGTGGCTCAGCCCCCTGTCTCCAGGCCACAGGGATGGCATTTTTATCCAGGCTGCCACAGTCAGACCTGGGGAACATCTCAAGATGTTTCCCTTCTGTTTGGATGAGTCTGGTGGGTTTGGCTGCATTCCCAGCTCTGCTCAGCCTGGGGAATCACAAGCCTTGTATGTAAATACAGAGTGGCTCACAGGGAAGCTTTGCCACGGGGCAATTCCTTCCTGGAGAGGAAATGAAGCTGTTGGATGTCACTGAGGGACACTGAGACATTCCCGTAACCCTCCTCCACCCCCTCGTCCAGGGAGACAAACATCCTCCAGGGGATTCTCAGGAACACATTTGGGAAAGATTTCCCCTCATGACAAGCAAAGGCCTTGAAGAATCTGCTTCCTCTGGGTTCTTTTACAGGGTGTCTGGCTCTGCACACACTGACCTGAGAGGGGATTTTGATCTTCTCCCAGTGTAAATGGGCACATGACAGACTTGGGAAGTCTCATTTCTGTCTTCAGAAAGTTTCCTGGAAAACTCCATAGAAGAAGACACAGTATCCACTTTCAATCCCCAAATCCTGGGAGCTCAATATTTAGTTTGTTTGGAGTTTAACATCCTCCTCCCTGGTTCCAGACTGTAACATCATCCTGTGTGTGTCAGGCTGGAAAATTTGATGTGTTGTGTAATTTTCTTTATTACTTCCCCTTTTTGAAAAAGCAGAGAAGAGGAAAGGGCACAGTTACCCCCTCCCAGATGGTTAATGCTGGGGGGGCCATGGAGCCATTCACCAGCAGGGGAACTGTGGAAAGGAGGAAGGTGCCTGACTAATGAAACAGAAGAAATATCAGAGGAAGCTCAGGAAAAAAAAAAAAGAAGGATCAATATAATTTACCAAAAACTCATGTTTTTAAAGGGAAACCAGGCAGATGATTAGTTAAGAGATCAGAGATCATCCTTATAGAACCATGGGATGGATTAGTTTAGAAGAGGCCTTAAAGCCCATCCAGTACCACCCCTGCCATGGGCAGGGACACCTTCCACCAGCCCAGGCTGCTCCAACCTGGCCTTGGACACTTCCAGGGATCCAGGGGCAGCCACAGCTCCTCAGGGCAAACTGTGCCAGCCAACGTTTTGTCTGTCTAGAGCCCAGGTGAGCTAAAGGTTTCCAGGTGATAACACCTCCTCTCCTGCCCAGGAACCTCCCCTGCTGATCTCTCCCAGCAGCTCCTCTGCTCCAGCTGCTTCCCCTCAGAGCTGGGGGCTGCTCCAGGCTCAGTCTCAGTTCCAGGCAGGAGGGATCCTCTGCACAGTTCCTGGAGAGATTCAGGAGTCCCATGGCCTCCCTGCAGAAGAGCTGCTCACATGTCACCCTCCCAGCAGCAGCTGGGGCTCCAAAGACATAAATAAAGCAGGGGAGAAAAAGAGAGGGCAAGTGGTCTGGACCATCTGCAGGGACAAGAAGCAGTGAGAGAATGTTCTTCTCAGCTTTTCTGTGCTGTAACACAAGAGAAACACCCTGACAGGGTGATGAAGCTCCAAACCAGATGGTATCACAGGGTATGGAATGCTCCCCTTCCTCCTCCTCTGCTGAGCTTTTGGGGCAGGTTGAACAGAATTCCACCCAGGAATGCTGTGGGTAAAGTCAGCCTTGCCAGGGGCTGTGGGTGCCTGGGTGTTTTCCTCAAGGTCAGCTGCTCCCCTTCCTTCTGCAAAGTCTAGGACCTTCCTATAGGACTTGACCCTAAATCCATGGATTTTAGCCAAACCCTAATCAACCCAAAGAGTCAGGGCTGCTGGAATGGGGGTTGGGGGTGAGCTGAAGCCCCTCAGCACAGGGGTGACAATGTGCCAGGACAGCAGCTGAGGCATCAAAACCCA